GTATGTAAATTGCTTTGGGCGAATAGAGAAGGCGCACACTTTACATCAAATAAAGCACGTATTTATATGCGAAATGCCGCCACATCATAAAGGGTTTATTCGCCGACTATATAAATGCAGCCTGCCATTAATGCCATGAACCTCCTGCTCAAATCCCCCAGAGTGGCAGGTGAGATTATACATGTATCTGAATGAGGAATTGCCTGGGGAATATTTCCACTTTGGCCCATTCGGTGTGAACATTTGAATTATCCCTCTTTAAGTCCGCGTTGCCCCTTAACTCCAAATCGTCGAATTGACCAACCCCTCATCATCAGCCCGACTATTCATACATTTTTCCAACAGCGCTGTTCAGGATTTATGGATTACGGAATTTGCTGGGGGAGCCACTTAACTTCCCCCGTAATTGCCCCAATGGAAATTCGAGTGCTTTGAAAGAATTTATGTGGAGATGCAACCCTTAGTTGCGTATAATCATGCAATTTGTCCGTCACTTTCGAGTTATTTATTCGCACAACGAACGAGCAATAGTCCAATAGGCCAAAGCGAAGAACGAGATTTCAGATGTTTAAGTCGAATAGCCGAGCTGGCAACCGTTTATCTCGCTCTCTTTCAACTCTATTAGTTTTCCCCGAGGCACGTCAGCCTAAGTTTTTATTGGACTTTTTTCCGCGAAAAATCGCCCTTTGTTCTGCCGCGGGAACTTGGTTAATGAAAATCGAGTGTTTTTTCGTTTAAGCAACTTCAACAGCTAAAGCAGCAGTTTGCATCTGGCTGGATTTATTCGCAAAAACTGAATAAACAATGGGTTTACCTGCAAAATATCTCATTAAACGCTCGAAGCACGTTCGCCGATATGAAGTTTCGAGGGCAATTTGTAACAAAAACGCCAGATATTCGATTGGAACGAAACTTGTCTTAAAGTCAGAACGTCGATGGTGGGCGTTCTTCGAACGCCTTCTACCAGGCCAGTTTGAAAAGTGATGGTTTTCGCATTATTATGCTTCAGAGCCGATGCATTTCAGTATTTGAAGAAGGTTCGTATTGATTTCATTTCGAAGATGCGAATTTTTAAAGAAGACAAAGCAGCTACTTACTAAACTGGACAAGTTTCTGCCTGGTGGGGTTGGGGAGCTGCGAATTGTCCAAGAACCAGAACGTCGCTGAACAATAAAATCGCTGCCAGATCGACTTTCCATTCTGCAATAATCACAGAAAAATCAGTTTCAAAGCCAACAAATGAAGACGGAGGCAAGTAGAACTAATTAAGTCGAGTAATGTCCACAAGCGGGAATAAAAGGACATTTTAATGGAACATTGTTGCGGCAAAATAGTCCAGGGCACATGGACGGTTTGCAAAATTGTGTTTCAATAGAGCGGTCGCATGTGTTTATGAAATGGGGGCGAGTTTGCAACTTGTATGGACAAGTTAATACTGACTGATCGCTTGAACGGCGCCCCGAAAGTTGAATAACTGTTGTAAAGCCGGCCTCAACGCTATTCCGAGGCGGGGCATTAGCGATTCAGAACTGCAAAACTAGCTGGAATTATAATCATAACTTTTCCAAAACTATGGATGCAGGTGATGCATCCAGACTTTAAAACGATGCAAATTCGGGCATATTAACACTGTCAACGTCGAATCTCCATAATCCTCTTCTTATAAATCTTCCCTTGTGATATTGAAATCGTGCCCTAATCCTCCATTTGCGGGAATTTAAAACGTTGTCATTTCGCATTCATTCCAGACCATGGTGGGAAATCCCGGCGGAGTATTCCTAAATTATCCAGCAACGTCATTTACATTTCAATTGGCGCACGAATTCGCCTCCTTTCTGTCGATTTCGTGACGGTTTTCGGGGAGGTTCTTCTCTTATATTAATAATAACAACCTCTCAGTAATCACTCACGTTCGTTATTCCCTGTGCATCCGTAATCCAATTTTAATTACGTTTACTTTGTTCGATATTCATTGGAACGTTTAATCTGGAACAAACGGGCTCAGCGGATTTTCCTTTCAAACGTACAGTTTTTTAATTGGAAACGGTAATTGTTTTGGCAAACCGGTTTTTCCCTGGCGAAGGGGGAAGGGGGGGGGGCGGGGATTGCCAATCCCTGAAGATATTTTAGCTGAAACGTTCAAAACTCCCAAAGTCAAGAGCGGCTCTATTAATCCCTGAAAGCTTTCCCAATTTTGCCGTACGATATTTCCAGAGACGGTGGAAACTGAAATATTGGCCCAATTTCACGCTGTGATTTCGCTTCGGTTGCGGATATTGTGCCATGAAAACGGCAGCTCAATCTCTATTCCATTCGGAAATCTTCGGCCAACATGTTGAATCATGGCAAAGTTCAACTGTTGCAACAAAAACCGGCTAATTAATGCAATTGGAGCAGCGAAAGCAGACCAAAGAGAAATTTCGTCTTAGGAATGATCGGCTTTGAAAGGCCTCCCTATTGCATATGCATCCAGATGCGGTAGCTGGAAGACGCAAACGGAAGCAATACTCTTTGAGCTCGTAGTCGAGTGAGTAATGTTGAACGATTACCAAAGCCAAAAAGTTAGAACATCGATGGTGATTAACTGTTCATCAAGTGTGTAGATTTTATTAGCATCTATTAAGTTGAATTTTGAATACAAAGGCCTAAACAAGCTCTAAAAGACTAACTGTTCATCAAATGCGTGGTTTGTGCCAACATCAGAGCCCCATCGACGTTCTGGCCTTTAGATGAGTTTTGATCAATTCACCAGATACAGAAAAATGACTTTTGGTTCAACGATCCGGCGAGCAGTTGAACTCAATTTTCCGCGAATAAACGCGCAACGCCCGGGTTGAATCGGAGATCTTTGCTATGCCCTTAATAGGATTCAAGTTGGAAACCAAACACCGACCATTGGGAGTTTGAAATTGAGAACAACTCACTCCTGGACTGCGTGCTAATGATAAAAGGCAACGAAACATCGTATAATCGAGGAAAATGAAGCCCTTAGGCTTTGCATTTTGGCGAATTTCGGTTGCAAAAATCCGATTGAGGTTCACCATTTAGACCATTTTCAAACCTAAACTCCCCTAAGCAAGAACGAACAGCCTGGTTTTACAGCCATACATATTAAATCTAATTAACTAGAAAACAACTGTTGAATTTGTGGAAAAGTCAGAACATCGATGGTGGTTATCTGATCTATCGCCAATTGAGTCCCATCGACGCTCTGACTTTTAGACAAGTTTTGACGAATCTTCAAATCAGCAGGAAATAAAAATCTGAATTTTCAACGATCGAACCATTCACTAGGAAAATTTGACTCAATTTCACCACGCAAACGAATTTCCTAAAAAAGCACACGTTTTTCCCACCCAAACCACCAGAAAATCTGCAAAATTGGCAAATCTTAAAGGTTAGAACGTCGATGGTGGTCAATTGTTCTCCACGTGTTGCTAACGCTAATTAAAGCCCATCGACGTTCTGACTTTTAGCGAGCTTTTGGCAAAATACAAAAATACTAAAGCGATTAGTTGGCCGGCACTGGAAACTCGTTAAATTACCGGTTTAACGACTTTACAATTAATAATGATTACCGAATTGGGGCGCCCAACGAGATCCTAATACAATTTCTGCAAACATGTTTATCGGTTTTTCGGTGGAAAGATATGTCGGAATTTGCCCTCAGGTTGCCCGAAGCCACTCAATTTCGACGAGATTTTACGAAGTTACATCCATACCGGAGTCGTAACGTAATTTGCGTATTTTAGGGCCTTAAAATGCTCGCTGAACCGTCAGTTGTTTGTCCGGGGTAACGTTCTGCGACATATTAATTTATTGCGATGTTTATCTCGAGAAAATCGACTTTCCAACGAGAAACTTTTCCCTTTTCATAAACTACGCGAACAAACAGAAACATCAGCCGCCAGGCTGATGTTTCTATGATTGAGGAAAATGATTACTTACATGTTTCCCAGTCGGAAAGTTTGAGCACTGACAGTCCAGGGTGACGGTCAATCATCATCATCTGATAAATCGATTTCAGCCAATCAGCGCCCAATTAGACGGGCCGAAAAAAAACAAACAAAACCAATTGGGGAAATCAAACGAGTTAAATATGGGAATGTTTACATGCTACCAAGTCAATTAACTGGTTTGGAATCAGGTAAATAAACTTATGGAGCACTAATCCCGATTGGTTAATTGATTGCAAAGGACCAGGAAAATAATTGGCAAATTGCGTGCGAAACCGATCAGAATATGGCCCAGTTTCCATATTACGAACTCTTAGTGCCCCCCCATATCGAACATTTAACGATCGAGAGCAAAGTTACATTTACTTCCCATTTTCCGCCGATATTATGGATTCTGTCGACGCGATAAATTGCCCTATAAATACGTACTAAAACCGGACACTTTAGGGCTCTATTAAATTTCAAACGCTCTAGTCGGAACTAATGGCTGAAAGACACGAAGACTTCAGTCCCTGTGGAAGCTGACGGGGAATCATCAAGTGAACTCGCTCAGACAGGGGAAATTGTCACTTACGTGAGAGCGACAAGGCGAACATACACCTCAGGGCGGCTTAGAAACAGAGCGAAATCGCGAACCGATCATCGCGTTTCAGGGCTTTTCGTCTCTTTCCAACAGGCGCATTTGCCCAACTGCCTTGTTGCACTCAATGACAATAATATTTGACAATAATCTAGAACGTTGGGCCATAACTACACGGCAAACATCGAAAATGATTCTCTAAAAATAGCGGATTACAAATCACTCGACCAATTAGCACCAAGTTGTAAAAAATAGGAAGCTCCTACACAAACGACAACGTAAAACAGCTCAGATGGAAAAGAGAGTCGTGCGGAAACTACACTAAGAAACTACATCATCAGCTACCGGAAAATTGTCAATTTAAAACAAAATTATTGGCTTAGACGTAGGTACATTGACTTTTCTTTGGTAGTCAACTCGATCATGTTGGTAGCTCTCTAACAGTACCTACGAATTGATTTCAGGCGCTCAGAGGTGGGAAATGGACCAATTAGAGTCATCACAACATTGGCAACCCAGACAGTTGTGATGCCCCAACTTTCCAGCATAAACCAAGCGCAAAAAGCGGAAAAACTAGCCGGCAATGGCCGTGTTGATCAGTGACTGACCGCGCCCCGCCCACTATGTCGCTAACCGATGCAATCAACGTGACCGCAGCCCAACAGCTGGACATCATCGACAACAAGGGCGTCCAGGTGCTGTTCTTCGTCATCTACACGACGATCTTCATCGTCGGCCTCTTCGGCAATGTGCTCGTGTGCTTCGTGGTGTTTCGCAACAAGGCCATGCAAACTGTGACCAATCTGTTCATCACCAATCTGGCCCTATCGGACATTCTCCTGTGCGTATTGGCTGTGCCGTTCACGCCCCTCTACACGCTATTGGGCAAATGGGTGTTTGGGGGCGTGATTTGCCACCTGGTGCCGTACGCGCAAGGGGCCAGCGTGTACATTTCCACGCTTACCTTGATGTCAATTGCCATAGATAGGTGGGTGGGCGGCTCAGGAGGCCGGGCTTCTAGGCTGATAGGCGTGGCCTGTTCCAGATACTTCGTCATCATTTACCCCTTCCATCCGCGCATGAAACTCTCCACATGCGTGTTGATCATCGTGATCATCTGGACGTTCGCCCTTCTGATCACCAGCCCCTACGGGATCTACATGCGACACATGGAGGATCCGAGCAACATCAGCCGCTTTTTCTGCGAGGAAAAGTGGCCGGTGGAACAGTGGCGGCACGCCTTCGGAGTGATCACTACCGCCTTGCAGTTCCTCATCCCCTTTCTCATCATGGCCTATTGCTATATTTGCGTGTCAATTAAGCTGAACGACCGCGCCAGGTAATCGGCGACACAGACTGGATCAATGTGGCAATGAGGAATGTCCAGGCTTTTGTGCAGGTCCAAGCCGGGGTCGAAGAACAGCCGCAAAGAGGAGGCTGATCGCGAGCGAAAACGCCGCACCAATCGCATGCTGATCGCAATGGTGGCGGTGTTTCTCATCTCCTGGCTGCCCCTCAACGTTGTCAATATCTCTAACGATTTCTACACGGATATGATCAAGTGGGAGTACTACTTTCTCAGCTTCTTCCTAGGTAGGCCGTGCAAATGTCGCACGCAGCAGCTTCGCTACTGCTCTCTGTTCCCATCTAGTTCACCAGCTGGCCATGTCATCCACATGCTACAACCCCTTCCTGTACGCATGGCTTAACGACAACTTCCGCAAGGAGTTCAAGCAAGTGTTGCCCTGTTTCGACGCCTCTGGTCGACGCGCCCCCTCCACCTGCCGCTTCACCAATTGGAAGTCCGAACGCACTTGCAACGGCAATGAAACTCTTGGTAAGTGGCAGTGTTGACGCTTCGTCCCACACTCGTAAAACAATGTTTGCAGCCATCAACGAAACCCAGCAGGAAAGCCTGTTGCCGTCGCAGATCCATCGAGGCTCCTCGTTCAAGGAGAAAAAGCTGACACCGCCGCCGTTGAAAACTGACAGTGTTGAAATTGAAAACATCATGGTGAGTCCAAGGGGGCAAACAAATTCAGTAAAATCCCGTAAAAATCCACATGCGGCGTGTACGATCTTTTGTTATTTACTATGCACCATTTTCGACTAACTACTCGCAAAAGTTCAAAATTCTCTAACATTTCACTCCCACTTTTACGGTTACTATTCAATGCACCCCGTAGTATCAGGCTATTATTGCCATCAAACCGGCCGAGTGGGCAAGAGGGAGATCGACATATCGTCCTTGTTGCACTCCCCCGAGATACCAGGGTCGGGCCATAAGAAACTGTCTTGACCGTTTCAGGTGCCGAATTACACAGTGAAATGATGAAGGTCTCTAAACGAAACCTTTACGCATCATAAGTTCGATTTTTTTAGGCTTCTTCAGTAAAAACTGCTCGTTTAATGAATCGATTAACAGCATATTTTCCACCAAAATTCCTTGATGATGCTTTCGGTATGAAACTTTCAAGATTTACGAACTCAATTTCCGCAATTTTATCGCAAAAATTAGTCACTTTTTTGCTTCCGGGGCCTTTGAGGTGTTTATTCTTGAACAAGACAGAAAGATAATTTGCAAAACGTTGCTTCATGCTTCGGTCAAGAGAAGATTTTGGATAAAACCGCCTGATGATGGTCTCTAAACAAAACTTTTACACATCATAAGTTCGGTTTTTTTGGATTCGCACAAAAAATACGCAATTTACAGTTTTCGATGCTTTTAAGTAATTTCTCAGCAAAGACTGCTCGTTTAATCCATCGATAAACATTTCTTTTTCAAAATTCCTTGATGATGCTTTCGATATGAAACTTTCAAGGATTTCAAACTCAATTTCCGCGATCTTAACGCAAAAATTAGTCACTTTGTTGATTCCGGGGCCTTTGATGGATTTATTCTTGAACACGAGCGTCTAAGATAGTTTCCAAATCGAACAAAATAAGTTTTTAGATAAAACCGCCTGATGATGGTCTGCAAACGAAACTTTCGTGCTTCATAAGTTCCATTTTCCTGAGCTTTACGCAAGAATACACAATTTTACAGTTTTCGGTGTTTTTCAACATATTATTCAAAAAGGACTGATCGTTTCATTTATGACTTAACCAAAGATTTTTTTGAAAATCTCCTGATGGTGTCTACACAATGAAACTTTCTACGTCTACAAGCTCGATTTGCTTTGCAGCTTATGTGGCCTTTGAGCCATTTGGCCAATTCCCATATGTAGAGATATACTCTTTCAATCAACGCTTTTACGGTTACTATTCAATGCACCCCGTAGTATCAGGCTATTATTGCCATCCAACCGGCATAGTGGGCAAGAGGGAGATCGACATATCGTCCTTGTTGCACTTCTCCGAGATACCAGGGTCGGGCCATAAGAAACTGTCTTGACCGTTTCAGGTGCCGAATTCTACAGTGGAATACGATTCGAATTTAGAAGTTGTGAAACTGAACCTGATTTGCGAGGAGGATCCGCCTGCCTATAGCGAGATCCACAAGACCACCCCGAGTTCGGACTGAGATTAGCGCGGTAAGCAGTAGTCGATTCCATTTTTGTGGGGAAATTGGGGACGGGGAGGCAACGCGCTTACCATTGAATCGGCCCACCCCAGCAAAAGCGGCTTAGACAAGGGCTTTTGTATGGTAATGTCTGGGATTTTCACTTTGTTTGTCGAAGCATTGATCTCGTCATTACAATGCATCCACGTTTAAAATGGGAAAAGGGGGGGACAGTTCTCGGGCGAAAGTTTCTCTGCCAAATTAATTAAAACAAGCAGCCATTTCAATGGACGGATTAGCTGGAACGCTTTGCCTCCACTGTAGCTGTGTGGAAAATTCATGGCTTCCTTTACATAGCAAACAAAAACTAACTATTATAAGTCCAACGCTGGCTTATTGGCTCGTTTTCATGTACGAGCGCTTAATTAATATATTTAAAGGGCCGTTCCTGCTTGCTCTTTTACACTATGGCAGCTTCCAAAGTTCATAGCCGGCTTTTAAAGTTCAGTGAAGTTTAAACGTTACGCCGATTTAGTGCTAAATCGCTGCTGGGAGTTTGCCCTCTTTCGGGGAATTTTGGATAAATCAACCCAAAAAAAAAACGCTGCTATATCTGATATTTTTAGTAAAACATTCAAAGTAACTTTGTTGAACGCTGAAGTTCAGCTTGTATATGTAAATAAATCAGCAGACGAACGTAAAAAATGCAACCCAATCAAATGCCCGATTTTCGTTTGTCTATCGGCAATTAAACAAGCTGGAGCTAGTTAAATGCGTCCAATAACGAATCAATTAAAGGCAAAGAAACCTCCATTGGACTGTTAAAGAAGGGGACAACCGGCGGCTCTGAATGTAATTTTAATTTAATTGTCAATTTGAGCCATCGAGTTGGAATTTATTGGATTTAATGAAACATTCCCGGGTCTTTCAAGAAAAACGTCTGATTCAGTTATTCCTGCTGCCCTCGCGCCCGTTTTAATTGACTGTAACTAAGCAAAAAAACGCCAACATGGAAAGGAATCTTTAAAAGACGCTGTGCAAGTAAAACAGTGAACATTTATGTTTGTTGCCGGCCAGCCTAATTGAATAGAACCGAACGACATCACAATCTGTGACGAAATAATGGGTTGCTAGACTTTTCCATTAAAGGGGCACAAAAATCGGCCAATTTTTTGCCCGCGCTCATGCATAACATTTTAATTGCGAAAGCGAAAGGCCCTTCAAGGGCCTGCTGGCATCGACCCTAAAACCTGAAAGAGCAAATTGGCTTTGAATATGGTAAAAATGAAATTTAAAAGTGCTTGAACGCGGCCCTTTTACCGCCCATTTACGTCAAATGGCTGGCGTTTCACTCGAGGTGGAGATCCGGAAATTGAATTAATTATTCAACGGGCTCGAAAAATGAAAGAAAACTATACCCCGATGACGGCTAATCGCTGATGTTCATTGTTTCAGATCGGCTCGGATTGCGCCGGCCCGTCAATAGATTATTTAATGTGCAGTGCCAACCAACATTATACCCCCACTATATATGTATATAACGAATATTTATAGAATTAAACAGTGTTTTGTTTAGAAACAGCGCATGGTTTCATTTGTCCACTCAATCATCGATCTAGACGTGGGTTCATAATCTTATGCGCACGTTTCAATGACATCTGTCAGATAGCTTAGACACGGAAAGATAGACTGCTGTCATATGTGACCCTAGGCCTGGGTAACTTAGTGAGTTTTTAGGGGTTGGCGCAATGCGGCGCAAATGGCTTGGAGCGCCAACCCAACGCACCGACGCAGTAACTCGGTTCCGTTGCTGGGAAAATGTTGATGACCTTTTTTTAGTTGTGTTTTTGTTGGTGTTAAAATACTGACAATATTAAGGTATTTTTTGCGAAAAATTAGTTTTATTAGAATACTGGCCTCCTTCGTCGCTTTGTACAAAGTTTTGAAATCCTTTTCCAGCTTCGAATTTGGTCCCGAAATTCTCTGAGAGAAGACTCGGCCTCAGAAACCTCAGTTAATTTTTGGGTGTTGGCGCAATGCTGCCCAAACGGGTTGGTGCACCAACCCGGCGCAGTAACTCAGTTGCGTTGCTGGGATAATGTTGATTGACCTTTTTTTAGTTGTGTTTTTGTTGGTGTTAAACTACTGACAATTTTAAGGTATTTTCTGCGAAAAATTTGAAAATAGAGAGAAAACAGAGTTTTGAAATCCGCTTTCAGCTTCGAATGTGGTCCCAAAACTCTAACGATTTTTTATCAAAAGTCGAACAAAATAAGCGAAAGTTTATCATAAATCATTTGAAAAACTCGATACTTCCATCTCTGAAAACTGTGGAATTTGTAAAAAACTGTGGTTTTTTAGTTTCGACCGAATTTTTTGCATGTTTTACTTTCTACTCAAAAACGCTCTATTTTGAAGAGTTTTACTTAAAAATACTGACAATCGGGAAGTCTTTTACGCGAAAAGTTGCAGGATGGATTTATAGCTTTGTCCGAATTGTACAAAAACTTTTTTCAGCGCCGAATCCGGGACGAAAACTAAAATAAATTTATGCCGTTTTTTCCCGAAAATCATTAGAGTTTCAAAAATCGATTGCGAAACTAAAAGTTTTTAACCAAAAGCGCAAAAAATCATTATTTTCAGATGCTTCCCTTCTTTCCTGACAATCATGGGATGTTTTCAGCCAAAAATGACAAAATTAATTTTGTTAGAAAATTCGCCTCATGCAGCGCTTTGCAGGGAATTTTAGAAAACCCCTTTCAGCTTCGATTTTGGCACAAAAACCAGATAATTTTATGACTTTTTAACCGAAAGATTTGTTAAATTTTTCCGAACCATAATATTTTTTCTGTATTTGTTCCCAAAAATAGTTCGCCGAACAGAACAAGCGAAATTTCATCAATCAATTATTTGGAAAACTCGTCACCTCCGTCGCTGTGAATAGTTTGATTTTTTCCGGTTTCTTCACTTTTAGGTCAACACTTTTAGACAAAACTGAGAGTCTTTTATGCAAGAAAACTAGTGATCGGTTTAACAAGAAGGTCTTCTTTATCGTCTTTTTCGAATACCGGTTTTGAAATGATTGAATTTGGGACAAAAACGAACCAAAGTTCTCGTGGTTTTTTGTCGAAAAAAAGAAAGTTACCAAAAAACGCGCAGAGAGCAAAATCACATAATCAACTATTTGGAAAACTCGTCACCCCCATCGCCCAGAAGAATTTTCAAGTTTCGTCAAAATTTCCAGTTTTGCCCATTTTGGATGAAACATTTTCAAGCAATCGTTTCGCCCGAAAAAGTATCTCAGCAAATTTTTTGGAGTTGGCGCAGTGCTGCGCAAAGGGCTTGGTGCGCCAACCCAACGCACCGGCGCTTAGTTCCGTTGCTGGTAAAACGCTCCTCATAAAAAAGTGAGTGAGTCAACACAGTGTTACCCAGGCCTAAATGCCGCTGTCAGACAATCTAAGCGCCCTAAAATAAGGAGCAGCGCAAGACGAAAAGCGAGTAAGAGGAAGACACTAAACAACACTAGAGCTTTGAACGGGCTCCCGTTGGGGGGGCACACAGCAGGCGCAAAAATCCAGTTTGGTTCGCTCTGCATCTTCGAGCGTTTGGGGTAGATGCGCATTGAGAGTCTCGGGCAGTAGCAAAGAGCACACGCCCCCTACCATCAGCATAGTGCCCATTATGATCAGGGGCAGAATTATGATGTCGGAGCCCTAAAAGGGGCGCACATGTTAGCAGCGTTGCACTCTCACGCAAAAAAAACCAAGCTGAACATGCCATCGACTCACCAAGTAGTTCACCAGTGGGATAAAGATGGGACCGAGCATCCCCACCACTGAGCTCAGCGACATGCCCAGACCGCGCACCACTGTAGGGTAGAGTTCGGAAGCCATCAGCGGCAGCACCACAAAGGACGAGGAAATGCCCATCTTCCCCACACAATACAGGGCCAAGGTGATGGAATAATCTGCAATAATGTGGCTGTGGAACGTTTCGATGCACCAATCAGCACTCACTGTTCTGGACTAAGGCGGTGGCCAAGCAGGAGGCCCCGCCCACTACCATGCTGATGCACAACGTCCAACGCCTGCCCAATCGCTCCATAGCGGGCCAGAGGAAGAGGTAGGTGGGAAGCTCGACGGCGCCTGCCAGGAAAAAGTTCAGATACTCATCTCCACCTGGAAGAGCACAAGAGTGTTGAAAACCTCCGGCTAAGCGCCCCCTCCATTGCGCCTCTACCTAGCGTTGGGGAGTAGTAGGAGAGCCCCACATAGACACTGGTATTGGTGAACCACAGAAAGGTGACTATCAAAGTCTTCCAGCGCAGATTGGGGTTTTGGAACAGATGTCGAATGCCCCACTTGGATTGGGCAGCCTTCTCCTGTTGACCTGCACTGATTGATCCATGGGGAAAAACTGCCCCATTCACGCTGCAAACAGTAAACCATTACTATCAACGGAAAAGCGTCGTCAGCACCGCATAAAATCTCCCTAATAGACAAACAGTATAAAACAACGCGCCCCTGTTTGCATAGTCGCAGCAAAAACAGCTCGTTTACAGAAAATTTCCATTCACGGCGTCAAGTTTTTGCAAATACGACGATTAGTACGGGGACATTTATACATAACTCTGCCTCCGTATGCAAAATGCCCGGCAGGCGTATTAAGGGAGCTGAAAACATCGCAAAACAGGCATTTGTGTTGGGCAATTGCCCACAAATCCACCCCAGTTTAGCTGAACAAAGTTGCTGCAACTGACGCGACTTTGAATGGATTGGGGATGGTAAATAGTCCCGAACTTTAAACTATTCAATGAGGAAACTTACCGGGCGATTTTCCTCAAAACCGCCTCGGCTTGGGCGCTTTTTCCCTGCGCCAACAACCACCTGGGACTCTCCGGCAGGAGGAACCACGTTAGAAACAGCGCGGTAAACGGGAGGGAAGTCGCCAAGGCCATCCACCTAGAAAACCAGCTGCAAGTGGAAAGCCTCCTTATTTCCTGCCGGTTGGGCAAGTTAAACCCACCTCCAACTCCTCACCGCCCACACCACCACAGCCAAGCTGACCAGCGACAAGGAGTAGGCGATGTTGATCAGGATGGTCACAGTGGTTCGGTCTTTGGGGCCCACCAGCTCTATGGCTAAAAAACGCACGCATTCCTGCAAGGTCCAGGGGACAGTTGGAGCTTACCCAGGACATATGGGGTGCCGAGGATGGCAGGCACAGTGAAACCCACTCCCATCCGTAGCAAAACCCAGATGTAAAAATTGGGGGCCAATGAGGTCGCGATGCCAAAAACGCACTGGATCAGCAGGTAGATGAAGTAGGCCGGTTTGCGCCCAAGGCCATCCTGGACGTGTCCGAAGATGTAATTTCCTGCCAAGCCGCTGCATCCGAACAGTACCAGAGCTAGCGTTGAGGCGAAGTCTCTGCCACATACCAGATTCCACTGGAAAGTTACCTCTTCGGCTGAGTGTTCGACTAAATGAGGAATGGGCGCGGGTTTTACCTCGCTTATAATGGAGTTTCCAACGTCCTCATCTCCATAGTCCCATCCGTTCTTGCATGGAACCCGATTGAGGGCCTCCAAGCCTGCCACGTCCATCTCGGACACATTGATCATCTGGTGGTTGACATCGTACATCAGGCATTGGCTGAATTTTGTTGTGTTTTCCGCAGGAAATTGCTTGGGAATGCTGAAACAAACCGGCTTATGGTTATGGTGATTAAAACGCCCTCAAGTATGGTAAAGAAAATGTGCCCAGGGAAGTTTTCCGCAAATAATCGCCCATTGTTGCAGGCTTCCCATTGAGCCAACATATGATTAAACATCAAAAATTTAAGGGGTTCAGAGGAGTTTTCCAGGAATTGCTTTGCTGGAGAACCACCAGGGGTTTCACTCGAGAAATCTAGCGGCCCTASAGCCGAATGAACGATAGAAATGTGCAATTTTTTAAGCAAAAAGTGATTTTTTTACTTGKCGTRMATCACCATCTGCCATTCAYCCACGAGATTGCGTTCCAAATAGTCCCTGTCCCCGCCGTTTTTACTTGAAAATTTGATTTATTGAGCGACTTCGATTGGGCCACACAAAGCATACCTCAACTCTTTCRTGCGGGTTCCATCGACTCCATCCAGACCGGGCAGACGACACCAATGTTCGGGCATTTTGGCCATGAAGAGCTGATTGTAGGCGTGGAACCCGCAGGGGAAAACGGCCGGAAACAAAATCAGCCAAATGACCAGCTTTTGGTACTTGCCAAAAGGGCCGATGGCAGAAAGAACCTCGTCCAGATCAAGCATGGCGGGCCAACGAATCGGATTGATCGGAAAACGACTGTGTTCCAAACACCTGGCGCGCTTCGCATTTTGACTCCCATTCGCTCAAATGGACTAATTGAGTTGCTTAATTTTCTTTTAACTTCAATGAGGAAGCGCTTTGATTGGATTATTCAATTAGTTGTTTGTGTGCCGGTATACCGAGTGGCCCTGAGCAATGAATGCATTTCCGCAAAAACACCCAATTTCTAAGCTGTTAAAAACTCATAAAATTTTACGATAACTGGCGCAGTCGGCAGGATTTCCCATAGCGGGCCAACTGATAATTAACGGCCAAATCCGACAAAACAATGACACACGCGTTTGCTTTCCACGTGAAACAAACAGGCTGCACTTAACATGTTTTTATTTGAGCAATTAGCACGATAACAAGCCAGAATGGGGGCGATAAAAGCAGATAATTCGTCATACATTGTCAACGTTCAAGTGCTTAGCGAGAGTGAAATCCGGCTATTTTTGGAGCCATTTTCCACTGAATTGATGATATTGTGCACGTTCGTGCGCCAAGGGATTAATCTGCGCCCATCCCATGGGCAGAAACTGGGCGTTTTGAGGCGAAAAGTGCATTTTTTTGAAGGTAAGCAAACGTTTAACATCGCAAAAAGCCCCCAAGTTGAGCATATGGAAAGCCTACGAAATATTCGCGCAGGTTTTCTCAATGCCCTTGCAGGCAGCGAATATTTCCCCATTTATTTTTCCAATGCCAATTTTCCGGACAGGATTCCGGAAACCTGCCACCTGAATAACGCTTTTCCTTTCCTTTTGTGCTTGTTTGATGGGAACAGTTTTTAGCGGAGATTTTTTTATCTGGAACAGGTTCCGAACAAGCCGGCCACGATGTATATGGACGTTTTAGCGGCCGCTCTTGTGCTTTTCCTGTCGCTCGTGCTGATTGCGAACAAAAAAGAGCCGAAAAAGCTGTTCGGCATCTACAGCCAGCCGGGGAAATGGTACTTTATCAAGTACCCCCTGATTTTAACGTTGCTAGTAGTGCGGAGGCTTAAATTCTACATCGTGGGCAAAGAGGGCCTGCTTGACGTGAAGGAGCTGGATAAAAAGCAGGAACTTTCAGAGCATCCTTTGGTCAGAAAATTTCCTAGCCAATCAATCAACGGGGATTTCAATTGTTTTTTGCACTAATATAGTCTTTCGACGCTGTTTTCTTCCACGGAGCATCCCAAGAGGGAGTCTACTTGGTGGCTGGGGCCGAGAGACATCACGAGGGCGTGATCAACGGCCTGATGTACATCCAGGTGATTAACCGCCGGGGAAAATTTAAGCAAAAACTAGCTGATGTTGATTTTTCAGCATCCCGACTTCGGGCTGCTGAAGAGCTTGAAGCTGCCCCACACCACATTGCTTGAAGACCCCGAATCGATCTTGGCAGGCAAGGAATGGGCGGCTGAAGGATTGAGATTCACCCCAGAAGAACCCATGAAGCGATGGGACGTGGCTTATAACGGGCAAATGCGGTGAGTTTCTTCAAACTGTTTGAAACTGATTGACTAAACCAAATTAGCCCAAACTAACCGATGAAGCGAAGGGACGATGAGCGTGTTACAACACTGAAACTGTGAGTTTGCTGCCAGTAAAATAAACATTCCGAACTAGTTCAATTTGGCGGTAAATTTCCGCGAGTTTTCCCTTGTGTCGAACAAATCGAACCGAAAACAGCCAGTCAGTAATGACGGCGCTCTGATTACTTTTCCCAGCACTTTAGAGCGTAAATTGCAAAAAATGTTCGAGCACGGGAGCGCTTCCATCTAAGATAGGCCTGGGTAACTCAGTTAATTTTTGACAGTTGGCGCAATGCTGCCCAAATGGGTTGGTGCACCAACCCGACGCACTGGCGCAGTAACTCAGTTGCGTTGATGGGAAAGTGTTGATTGACCTTTTTTTACTTGGGTTTTTATCGGTGTTAAAATACTGACAATCTTCAGGTATTTTCTGCGAAAAATTTGAAAATAAATTTTATCAGAATACGCGCCTCCTTCGTCGCTTTGTACAGTTTTGAAATCTGCTTTTAGCTTCGAATTTGGTCCCAAAACTTTTTTAGTTGCTGTTGGATTATTGGTGTTCAAATACTGACAATCTTAAGGTATTTTCTGCGAAAAATTTATTTTATTAGAATACTGGCCTCCTTCGTCGCTTTGTAGAAAGTTTTGAAATCCTTTTCCAGCTTCAAATTTGGTCCCGAAATTCTCTGAGAGAAAACTCGGCCTCAGAAACCTAAGTTAATTTTTGGGAGTTGGCGCAATGCTGCCCAAACGGGTTGGCGCACCAACCCGGCGCAGTAACTCAGTTGCGTTGCTGGGAAAATGTTGGTTGACCTTTTTTTAGTTGTGTTTTTGTTGGTGTTAAACTACTGACAATCTTAAGGTATTTTCTGTTTTCTGCGAAAAATTTGAAAATAGAGAGAAAACAGAGTTTTGAAATCCGCTTTCAGCTTCGAATTTGGTCGCAAAACTCTAACGATTTTTTATCAAAAGTCGAACAAAATAAGCGAAAGTTTATCATAAATCATTTGAAAAACTCGATACTTCCATCTCTCTGAAAACTGTGGAATTTGTAAAAAAACTGTGGTTTTTTAGTTTCGACCGAATTTTTTGCATGTTTTACTTTCTACTCAAAAACGCTCTAGTTTGAAGAGTTTTACTTAAAAAACTGACAATCGGGAAGTCTTTTACGCGAAAAGTTGCAGGATGGATTTATAGCTTTGTCCGAATTGTACAAACAAATTTTTCAGCGTCGAATTCGGGACAAAAACTAAAATAAATTTATGCCGTTTTTTCCCGAAAATCATTAGGGTTTCAAAAATCGATTGCAAAACTAAAAGTTTTTAACCAAAAGCGCAAAAAATCATTATTTTCTGATGCTTCCCTTCTTTCCTGACAATCATGGGATGTTTTCAGCCAAAAATGACAAAATTAATTTTGTTAAAAAACCGAATTCGCCGAACAGAACAAGCAAAAGTTCATCAATCAATTATTTCGAAAACTCGTCACCTTCGTCGCTGTGAATAGTCTGATTTTTTCCGGTTTCTTCACTTTTAGGTCAATACTTCTAAACAAAACTCTCTAAACACGTTTTACTGTAAAATTGTGGCAAACTGAGAATCTTTTATGCAAAAAAATGCAGAGATCGATTTTATAGTTTGGTCTTCTTTATCGTCTTTTTCGAATACCGGTTTTACCATTGAATTTGGGAACCAAAGTTCTCGTGTTGTTTTTTTTAAATGTTAAAATGACGTTAAAATTCCAGTCTCGGCCATCGGTAAGCGAGTTATAACTCATTAACTCAAAGAGCGGCAACAACACAAAAGCACAACTCAACACAGTGTTACCCAGGCCTAATCTAAGAAGTTTCACCTTGTTGTCAATTGAAGCAAATGGGGTGAAAAACTGGTTACTTGGTGGCCCTCTCGGGTGGAGATCGATATCCGATCAGCTAACAACTTTCCAGAGAAATAAACTAAAAAATTGATGATTCCAGTCAGGGAATGGTTTTATAAATCGGCGCCCAGAGCCATTGTTTCGGGACGTTCCCAAACAGATCCAACTAAATCGGAGATTTTCATCCGAACTGTGTCAAGAGTTTTTGTAAACTAAGCCGAGAAAGGCTTCCTGAACATCGAGAGTTTTGCTGCTTGACTTCATCTTAGTAAGTTGTTCCAGAAGCAGCGACGGTAAGCTGGTGCAAGTGGAAATGCAAGAAAAATGGGTCAGCGACATGCCCTGGTTCCTGTACGAGCTGGAACTTCCGGCCAAAATGCTCGCGCGCTCCATTGCACGAGAACCATGGAGCGAGCAACTCTTCGAAACGTTAAAAGAGTAAGTTTTCCCCCTGGGGGCAACATCCGGCTCTCGCCACTTCTTCAGCCTTTAGAAACATGTCCCATGCCCATTAGGCACAAAGGGCGAATAAAACTTTAATTAGTCTTTTCACTGAAGGCGACATAATTAATCTCCATCATCAGCAGTGACATTAAATTCTATAAAACAGGAAAAAACCATTTGCTCAACCAGTGGCGCTCCGATTTTCAGGGCCAATCAAACGCATTACGAACAAATGGGGTTCATGGAAGGCACCCTGAAAGTGGATGGCAAGGAAGTGCCCCTGAAGCTGGACTCTTTCCGGGACCACAGCTATGGTAAGTGCGAAACAGCATCCAGCAATGCAGCAATTGCACAGAATGATCGCCAGGCAAACGCAACTGGAGCCTGATGCATCGCTACATCTACCAGATGTTCTACTTGGAAAATCAGACGCGCATCGTTCTGGGGCTGATTTCCCAGCCCTCTACAGGCTCCCACTACGAAATGGGGTATGTGGTGCACGCCAATGGGAAGATCGACCCCATAATCAGTTGCGATTTGCGGCTGTGGCAACAAGGCGAAAGCGGCCTCCCAACTGATGAGCTGTGCTTTACCTTTGAGGCAGGTGAGCGTGGCTAAAGTCTGGCCCATGGGACGGCTTGGTGGGCCTAAAATGTGATTATCGCCTCCAGGAGAACATATCTACGAATGCAAGTCGAAATACCACAAGACAGTGGCGCACTTTGTGGGCAACAACGAGCAGGTGAAGATGTACGAGCGGTTTGGGGGCTGCGAAGTCAATGGGGTGAAAGGGCAGGTTATTTCCGAGTGGAACTACAACGCAACCAGTGGAAAGTTCGACCTGGACCAGTACACGTGCTGACGATTGTTGATTGAGACACAATAAAAGGTTTTAGAGAGTTTAGTTGCACTTTTGTCAGTTAGCCAAAAACGCGAAAATCTCCCGAAAACTTTTTGGCCTTTGTTGCTCACGCAAAAAAATTCTAAATGGCAAAAACAGTCCCGAACATACAACAATTTTAATTAAATATGGGAACAAAAAGACGGTCGGTTGAAACTGAAAAGCGGATTAAATTGCTCACGCCACTGCGACCCGATTTTCCGCCGTCGCCACATTAATGCAGAGAAAGCGAAAAGTTGGCGAAAAGAAAATTGCATTCAAACAGGTCATACATCTAGCTTAAAACCGCAACAGCTCGGAAAGCGTGTTTAACTGCAAATTTGAGGATGCGAGAACAAAGTAAGGCAATTTTCCACATGGGCGACACACTTTGCACGTTAATAATGGCATAAATTTCGAAGTCTTGGGCGAGTTTTTCGCCGCAGCGGAATGAGATCCGTGCGCCTGGCCATTTAGCATCTAAAACACCAATTTAAAGTTACCACCTTGGAGCAACGAGGGAAAAAGTTACGGGCTTGTCAACAGCCAAAAACAAACCGAGGCAAAAACGAAAATTATCAGCGAGTTCGACAAGATTTATTCGTTTTATTTATGCGAAATTATCGCGCAACAAGGTCGATTGTTTGCATTTCCGGTAGTACTGCTTATGAAAAAGGACAAACTGTTGCCGACATGCTGAATGCGCCCCCGACTAAACTTAACACAAATACTAATGATTTTTCGGAAAAAATCTGACACCACCACGACTTCACTCAGTAGATAACAAGTTTCATTTAAAAATTGCGCTTCAATCATGAGAGCTCATTGAAAGTTCACGATCTTTAGCCGACGATTTCTTCCTTATTGT